TACAGGGCGCTCATATTATAAGGTAAGGTTATAAAAACCATCTTTTAAGATCATTTTAGTGAAAGTTTCATGCTTCAAGGCGTACCATTCACTGCTCAAATACTAAAAAACCTGCTTCCATTGAAGATATAAAGGGCGCTCATATTATAAGGTAAGGTTATAAAACCACCTTTTAAGATCATTTTAGTGAAAGTTTCATGTTCCTATCTCATAGAATTTAAGAACAATGATGAATAAATCATTTTCGAGCAAAATTTAAATGGCCGGCTGAATATATTACCGCAGGAGACGCAGCCGCGGAATTTAAATTACCGCGTCAAAGGGTTAAAAAAAAGCCTGAAGAGAGATTTTATTCACATTTGGCATTTACGAGTTTATCCATCACAGATCAGTGCCCAGTGAACACAAACATTCTAGCTCCAAAAACTGGGGCCCTTCACATGGGCCCCCACAAATATAAAATTGTGATTTTGTCAAAAACACCTTAACAATTTTGATTAAATTTCAGTCATTTATGAAGACCAAAATAAAACTGCATGGGTGATATCTTCAGGATAGTAATGACATACTCTCTAGCAGCCCAAAAGTGTACATGAGAAATTTATCTGCAATGTCTAGCACAGATTTTTTTATCCTTGCTTCAGTAAAACTTAAATATGCATAAATACTGCTCTCATATAGTCATACAGACTAAGTGATTAACCCCACTACCCTCCATAAAGGGGACAGCTCTAAATATATATACAGGGTGTTTCACGACTTTAGGGCATAACTGCAGGACGTGATTTCCTAGGCCTTTGTGATCAAAAGAGTTCATATAAACATGTGTCTGATTTTGGACAGTTACAGAGTTATGACCATTTTAAACTCAGAAGAGAAGGTAATGATTACTGACAATAAACGGAACAAAATCATAAACCAGCATAATACATTATACATTTAAAGTATGAATGTAAAGTTAACTTCGTGAAATTACCTTTAATTTGAATTTATTGGTGCTTAAAGCTGATTTTCCAAAATGCCACCGCCGGCCGGAACACAGGCTACCGCTCAGTTGTGAACCGTGCCAGACATACCAACCGTCCCTGCCTTAGGTACATCTCAAGTGTCAAGATAACGAGAACGCTCTGGCTGCAGCTGGCTAAAAATAGCGACCCGCCAGCTGACAGACACAGTTCACACGAGGGTGTGTATGGGAATGAAAAAACGGTCATAACTCCGTAACCATCCAAAATCGGACACATGTTTATATGAACTTTTTTGATCACAAAGACCTAGGAAATCACCTCCTGCAGTTATGCCCTAAAGTCGTGAAACACCCTGTATAAAATAAACAAGCCATGATCATCATGTTTATCGCTAAAAATACTGATATAGGAACATAACCCCCATTTTAATACAAAGTTTGTGGAAAAAAATCTTCAATACATGCATTTCGCTGTTAGAAAGCAGTTTGCAGAAACACAATGACATTCCACATCAAGATATACCTGTAGTTCAAACTGAAGCGTGTTCTCTATACCTCAATCTCAGATAATGTGAGCACATACACTTCAAATAGCCCTGCTAACCTGTCTAGCCATTGCATCCAGCTGTGAGGTTTGAGCTGGCTGAGGTTGATCAGATCGCAATAATTGTGTGTGTGTTACTTCCACTGAGAAGCTCGGCAGCCATGATACATAGCGAGAACCTAAAATTAAAAAATTCAAAGTCACAAACACACCCAGGGATTAAAGCTATTTTTCTTGCAAAAATCATCTAAAGATCTGTGATAATTTGTATTATCATGCTATGGTGTTTTTCCATGCAATTAGTAGAACAGGCATCATATGAACCTATTTATCATCAATACATTGTCTTTCAGCAAATTTTTATCATATGATATTCCACACATTAATAATACGTACAACTATTAACTGTTCATTATTTGTTACAAAACAATGAATCGTTATTTTTCTACAATATATCTCCACTATATTTGACAATTTATTTTTAGAGCACTCCTTGCTTGATGTGTTTATACTCTGTTGCTGTCTGAGGGATTAATCTGCAGACTCTATAGACTAAAGTACTACAAGTTCGCTAAGAGGAAAACAACTACAATGGACATATAATTGAGAAAATAGCTTTTAAAGACTATATTAGTTTTACACACATTAAAACCTAGTACACACTGACAGAAAATACGACAATTAGTAATTTTCACAGTCAATTATGTGTGAAACATCTGATGAAGACATTTTTCAAAACACATTGAACTAATTATAATTATATTAGTGTTTCTGATGGTTATTTTGTTATAATTTGTAATAATAGTTGTCACTGTGACATAATTATGTCGGACATATTGACTGGATAATGGTTGTCACTGTGACATAATTATGTTGGACATATTCACTGGATAATATGTATTTCATATGAATGACATCTGGGGAGTTAACTTTACTTCTTCCTTACATAACTGGTTGTCTGTTACTACAATGACATTATTACTGTTATTATGCTTGCAGTTGTTGTTGCTATTTGCATATAATCACATCTCAAACAGTCACCTGCAACACCTATATTTATACTTGATTTGGCAGGGTGGCTGTGTCTTTGGTGGGGACGTATCATAGACCAGGGATGCGTTGAGACACAGCTTTGGAACACCTCCTCGTGGTCCTGCTGGGCAACGACAGTCTTGGGAGTCTGCATTAGCATGAGCTTCCGGGGCTGGCGGCCTAGTTTCGATAAAGGGCAATGGCTATTTGACCAGAGCCTCCCACACGGTGGCATAATGACTCTTGGGTTTCATTATGATGTACCTGGGACGAATGCGGGAGAGCACTCCTATGGGGGTAACTACGGCTATTTGAGTTGTCTCCCTAGAGTACCGATAAGGTGACGCAAGCCTTAGGGCTCAACACTCTAAAATGGTTTGACCAACCCATGTGGAGGGGCGGGAATGGGGGAGCTTTGAAGCAACCTCCAGGGGCGATAATCTCATGTAGGATGCCCTGGTTGCAACCTCATGACAATTAGTACCCCTCTCCCCCCGAACATGCACTCTTGGTCCTGGAGGCTTGTGAGGGTTATATTTTTGAAGGACCAACCTCCTAAGCCAAGGTGTGAGGCATTCATGCCAAAGGCTGCATGGCACTGGGGTGGTTATTGGCCAGTGTCACGAACGATCCCCTCGGGGCAGCAGGCAGCACCCCATTGTATTTATGCCTTCCACCCACATGGGGCTCTGCGAGTGGTGACCTTTAAATCCCCATTACTCGTGGGACCGAAATGAAAAAAACGAACCAAATCAAAAACCAGTCACAAGGACCTTATACTGAAGAGGGAGCCCCCCCTCAAGGGGATCCCTACGAGAGATGCTTCAGCAGGGGGCTGGAAGCGCTGGTGAACCATTAAGGGGCCCAGATGCAACCAGCGAACCTGCTGTTGAAATTTCAGCCAAAGGCAAGGATGAACCAGTGATTCAAAACTTGTCAGAGGCAAAACTAAAAACTACTCTCTTGGGGGTCATTAGTACTGACACACCACTGCAGAGAGCCAGTACTTCTGACATACCTGCAGCAGGGGAAAGACTGGGACACCTAGGCTCTGGAGTAGGTGGACCCCGTCTCACGAAGAAAGCCTTGTCTGGATGCGCTATACGGAAGTTAAAAAAGGCAAAAGCTGAGACAAGCAAAGCAGGAACTGGGAGCAATTAGGAAATGCAAGCTCGTCCAAGCAGGGAGAAACCCCCACCAGCACCTTTAAGAGGCCAAGGTCGGAGGGCAGTACACCTACAGAAACGGCCAGAACTCTGAAAAAGCCCAGGGACTGTAAAGGACCAGGGACTTACAAGGAGGCTCTGACCAATATAAAGGTAGCTATCTTCAAGGAAACTTACCCTGAGGATAAGCTTACGGAAAACGACCAAAATTCCATTCTGGAAGCATTGGACGAGGTGTTACGTAGGACTCCAAAGGAAGAACTACCAAACCTGAAATCCTACAGACTGTTGGGAGGTGCACTTATCTATATATGTGCTGACCAACAGTCTGGTCAATGGCTCATCAAAGCCACTGACAACCACAGGCTCAAATCAGGGACCAGGATGAAGGCTAGTGATGCCAGGAACCTGCCTAAGCCTGTTAAAGCAGCTCTCCAGACTAGGGACAAAATTGACCAAAACCAGGAAGAGCTGCTGAAATGGATTGCAGACCTTAATCTGGGACTTCATACAGAGAACTGGAAGGTACTAGACAAGCAATCTGAATCGAAAAGCCAAAGGCTCATCTTATTCATAGACCAGGACTCCCATACTATTATACAGAGGACCGGTTACAAAATATTTACAGGACTCTCACAGGGGACTGTTAAGGTGCTGGATGATCCTGAAGTTCAGCACTGGGTAGAACCCGTGACAGACACTGTATCTTCCAACCCGGTCTCTGAGGAGGAAGGGGATGAAGTACCCAGCCCCCTGGATGACCAAAGCAAAACGGATCAGGGGACCCCTTCACATGGAACCCAGTCCGAGAACAGAGAGGGACATAAGATGGAAATTGACCCCTCCTCAATTTGAAGAGATCATGAAATTTCTTCAGATCAACCTACACCACAGCAAAGCTGCCACGGCAGCTCTGTGCCAACAGCTAGCTGAGGGTAGGCCAGATATAGCACTTATTCAGGAACCTTCGATATACAAGGGTCAAATAAGGGGCTTAACTAATACAGAGGGAACAGTCTACTCTGTTGTACCCAGTAATGATGCACAATCTTGTGTTTATATCAGGAATCGTGTTAATGCCTTGCCTTTGCTGGAACTCTGTTCTAGGGATACAAAAGCGGTAAGGATAACATACCCATATCGAGAAGGCAGCAAGGAGCTGATTGTTGCTTCAGTCTACCTTCCATACGACTTGGATGAACCATCACCAAGTAAGGAAATGAGGGACATCGACATCATAGACTACTGTTGTAGCAGGAAAAGCAACTTATCATTGGGTGTGATGCCAACGCGCACCACATCTTGTGGGGGAGCACCGGCACTAACCCAAGGGGAGAGAGCCTTATGGAATTTCTGGTGAGTTAAAACCTGAATATTCTAAACCATGGTAACGAACCTACCTTTGTGGTTTGCAATAGGAAGGAGGTTACTGGTTTGACACTAGGGACAAACGACATAGGAAACCTGGTAAGTAACTGGCATGTATCTGATGAGCCGTCCCTATCGGATCACAGATATACCGTATGTCCAAAAAGTATCCGACTTTATTTTTTTCCACTGTAAGTAATGGCCAAAGGGGTGGGGAACTGAGCGTAGTGGTAGAAGGGACTTTCATTGCACATGTGTGATTTTTTGCTGACTTGCAACACTGCCAGATGCGTCTGTGGCTGCCAGATAGTGAAGTGGTGTAACACATGTTCGTCGCATTCTCGTTTCGCTCAAGATGACAGAATGCTTGGAGCAGTGATACTCCATTAAGTTTTGTCAGAAACTTGGGGTACTCAAGCGGAAACAATTCGCAAAATTCAGCAGGCTTTCAGCGATGATGCAATGGGGGTCACTCAAATTAAAGAGTGGTTCAACTGCTTTAAACATGGCCGTATGTCGGCGGACAGTGAGCAGCGTTCTGGGAGACCGTCAACAACCTGAAATGCTGATGTCATTGAAAAAGTGCCGACACTGATCATGGAGGATCGTCGTTTGGCCATCTGTGAAGTTCCTGATGAGGTTGGGATTAGCAGAAGTTCAGCAAACACAATTTTAACTGAGGATTTGGGCATGCGAAGAGTGGCGGCAAAATTTGTGCCCAAGCTGCTTTCGCCAGAGTAGCAGCAACTCCACCTTGAGGTCGCACAGGACATGCTGGAGTGCGCCAACAGGGATCCTGAGTTCCTGAAGACTGTGATCACTGGTAACGAGTCGTGGGTGTATGGATATGACCCGGAAACCAAGGTCCAGGCATCACAATGGAAGCACCCAACATCCCCGAGGCCCAAAAGAGCACGACAGGCTCGGAGCAATATGAAGTTGATACTGACTGTTTTTTTCGATTACTGGGGTGTTGTGCATCATGAGTACGTACCACTAGGTCAAACTGTCAATAAGGAGTACTACTAAGAAGTCCTCCACCATCTTTGTGATGCAGTTCGGCGCAAGAGACCGGAGCTGTGGGACGCACACAAGTGGCAGCTGCATCATGACAACGCCCCAGCTTATTCATCGCACCTGATCCAGGGTTTCCTGGCCAAGCACGGCATTCCGCAGGTTCGCCAGGCTCCCTACTCTCCTGACATGGCTCCTTGATTTCTGGTTGTTCCCGAGATTGAAGATATGGCTAAAAGGCTGCCGTTTTGACAGCCGCGAGGACATCATACAGAATGCGACGGTGCAGCTGCACGCCATTCCAAAAGAAGCCTTCCAGAATTGCTTCCAGTGATGGAAGGACCGCTGGGCTAAGTGTTTAGAGTCACAAGGGGCCAACTTTGAAGGGGATTAGGTATTGTAAGCACCCGGATACAGAACTTTGTTTTCCCGGCCCAAGGTTGGATACTTTTTGGAGAGAGTAGTACATGCTTTAAAATAAGTAATATTACAGTAGATCAAGCTACTTATAGGAATCCTAAGAGAACCAATTGGGAGTCTTACAAAGACGACCTAAAGGTAAATCTAGAGACCATCTCGCATAATATACGCACAATAAA